AATAGCTTAGTTGAAAATTATTTCCAACACTAACAATCACTTAGTGGTTACAAGGGTAACCCATCATTTAATGACTTTCAATAATAACAAAATAAAAAATATTTTTAGTAGATGGAAATGTAATGTATTTAGCTACACGGGTATTATAAAGTGGTAGTAATATAGTATTAAGTCATGCCAAAAAAAAAAAGATGTTATTAGAATTGTTCAAAACTAAATATTTTTTATATATGTAAAATAGTAGTGTTGTCATAATTATTTTAAAATTAAAAAGACAATTATACTATTTTTATTATTCAATCTTTTATTGTTATTTTATTATAAAGTTACTACACCAAAAAACTATTAAATATACATAAAGCATTTATTGTACTACTCTAGGAGCTAATTATATACCAATAATATTTTTAAAAAATATGTGGCTATGAAAATAGCCATTTTAGTAGGTTCAAGTCATTTCACTTTCTCTTTAATGTTCTTACTCCAAAATAGAGGGTGTTTTTTAATTGATGTTCTTTATATATCAATTTAGTTTGACTTTTTTGAATTTTGAAAGCTTTCAGGTTATATTTTGCAATGTACATTCTACCAACTTGTATGTAAAATGTTAGATGATCATGCATACTTAGCTGCAAGCAAATATGATAAACACTGCTCATTATACAACTTAGACATGTTAGAAAACCAATTGTAAAATTAGAGGTACCAAAAACATTCCCACTGAATCATAGTAGAATGTTTTGTTTAGTAATGTAGAGGGATACATCCTTAAATGTTATAATATCATTGATAAAAGAGGTACCAGTCAGATAAACAAGATAAGATTTGCTACTTCAAAACATGAAAGAAATTGTTTTTTCAGAAAATGTTTTGTAGAATCGATTCTACAAAATATTTTCTGAAAAAAACAATTTCTTTCATGTTTTGAAAGCATTTTGAAGTATGAAGTAGCATTTGAATACTACTTCATGTTCTTTTATGTTTTGAAGTAGGATAAGTAGTGATTAATCAGCGGTGAAAAATTTCAGCATTTTAATCAAATGAATCAGTGTTTATACTTGATTTTAAACTTTTAATGTCAGCTTGTAGCAAAGTACCATTGATTTGAAGCAAGCTTTACTGCAATCTTGATTAAATAGTTATAAAATCTTATAGGATGAAGAATAATCTTTGCTTTCTTTTATTAAATGCTTGTCAGTAATTTTGTCCTTGTGCTTGGCATTGAGGTGACAAGTCACCGTGTGATATACATCGCTTCTTGCAAAACAAACACATAGATATTCTTTCTTCACCTTAGTTAGGATAAATTAAAATAGTTAGTCTAATGTTTGAACTAAAATTGAGATCTGCCTCCAACAAATAGCAACTTAATAGCAGCTAAAACAGCATCGAATTTATTTAAATTTTCAAAGTCTGCGCTACAAAGAGTCATTTTAAGAACATTTGATGCACTCTCAGTCCGGTCACCCCTTAAAGCTCAAGTTATTTTACAAAATCTATAGAAAACAATTATATCTAAATTATTAATCCACAATTTAAACCAAATAGGTTTGTAAAATAGAGTATAATAAAGGTTTTTTATATATATATTTTTTGTATTTTTTTTTTTTTGAAGTGTACATATATATATATATATATATATATATATATATATATATATATATATATATATATATATATATATATATATATATATATATATATATATATATATATATATATATATATATATATATATATATATGTACACTTCAAAAAAAAATCATAATTTTAAAAATTGCATCAAAAAAATGAATTGTTTGATAAAAATATTCAAAAAAAGTTTTTTAGATATCTAATCAAGTGTTGTTTTAAAAATTTATTTGTGTATTGGTGAATTAATTGCTTTTGAATTTTACACAATTTTTTTTTTTTTTTTTTTTTTATTTTTATTCACCTCCTCAAGGCTGAGAAGGCCACTACAGATGAGGAGGCTACTTATTTGTGGCTATAACCCTCTCTCAACTCTATAACTCCGAAACACGAACCTTGATGAACAAGGCAGAAACGAGTTGAGCACGGTACTACCAGGGACATGGTGAGGATCGAACTCCGAACCACTCGTTTATGAAGCGAGCGCTCTACCACTACACCACTACCGCATATTGATCTAATGATGCATAAAATTGACTGCAAAAAAAAATGATCGTACAGTTCAAAAATAATGTCAAATTCCATATATATTATTATCGAGTGGGGCCTCCTTTAGCCTTGATGGCCTCAATTAGACAATTTAGCAATGAGTTTACCAAATTTTGGGTCTCTTCTTTTGTTATTTTATCCTATGCGCTTATTATAGCTTCTTTAAAATTATCTTTGTGTCTAAATACTCGGTTGCCAATTTTTCTATCCAAAATAGACCACAAATTTTCTATTTGATTTAAGTCCAGACTTTAAGATGGCCATTCCAAAACATTGATGTTATCTATGTCACAGTATACCTTTTTTTTCTTAGCGGTATGTTTAGGGTTGTTATCTTACTGGAGTATGAAATCACTTCCCATTCTCAATTTTTTTTTTTTTTTTTTCATCAATTCACCTCCTCAAGGCTCAAGGCCACTACAGGCGAGGAGGCTACTTATTTGTGGTTATAACCCTCTCTCAACTCTATAACTCCGAAACACGAACCTTGACAAACAAGGCCGTTGCACAGAGAAACGAGTTGAGTGCGGTACTGCCAGGGACGTGGTGGGGATCGAACTCAGAACCTCTTGCTTATGAAGCGAGCACTTTTTAGTATATGTTGGCAAGTTGGCTTGGAGAATTTCACAATACATTGAAGCATCCATTTAGTCATTGATAAATGTAAATTTCCCCACTCCTTTTCAACTCATACTACCCCAAACCATCATATTTCCTCCTCCATGGATTACACTACCTCGTAAACAACTCAATTTATAAACTTCTCCTTTTTTTCGCCACACCTTTTGGACTCCATCCGATGAGACAAGATTGTATTTTGACTCATTTTATTACAAAATCTTATTCCAATATGATATCAGCATTTTTGAGTATTTTGATGCAAATTCCAGTCAATGTTTTATTTGTTTAGAAGTTAAAAAATATAGCAAAAACATTTGCTAAAAATATAATTTTTTTGTACTAAAAAGTAGAAAATAAACTTTTTAATTTAAATTTAATAGTTCCGTAAACTAAAGATTGACAGATCTGCGCAAGATTTATTTAGAAAATACCTGTCAATCTTTAGTTTACGGAACTATTAAATTTAAATTAAAAAGTTTATTTTCTACTTTTTAGTACAAAAAGATTTTATTTTTAGCAAATGTTTTTGCTATATTTTATTTTCTACTTCTTAGTCTACAGAGAGTTGCAATATTTAGCAATGCGTTTATCTAGATATGTGTAATCAAGTCGACCTTTTTATCCTAAAGAAATGTAGTATTTACTGATAAAAGGAGCAAAATATTTTTCTTTTAAAAGATAAAATTTTTTTATATAAAAGTAAAATAACATAAAGTAAAAATATTTCATTTGCATTGCAACCCGCATCCTCCCACAGATGTAGTATATTTTTATATTAATATTAAACAAAGTTAACATAACTTTGTAAGTTACTTTTTCAATTTTATTAAAATTTCTAACCAAGTAATAACTTTAATACAATAATATGAGAAGATCAAATATAAATAAAAAATCAAATTGTTTATGTGGGAATCTGATAAAATTTCAAACTTTTGCTTTGGTGGTACCCATAAGCTTGTGCACAGAATAAGAATTTAAGCCATTTGATGATATCATTTTTTAAATGATATTTTAATATCTTTAATATTTCTGCAAAGTTTTTTTTGTTTTTTTCATTTTTCTTTTAATGATGGCCCAGCACTTTTCGATAACTCTTAATTCTGGGCAGTTCGGAGGATTTTCTGTTTTAGGCACAAATTTCACATTATTATTTTTATACCTTTCCAAAGCTAGTTTACAATAATGAATTGAAGCTATTGTGAGAGGTAAAAAGCGTTTATGTAAACACTCTTTAACATATATTTGACCCGAAAGTGTGGACTAAGAAATATATGGTGGTGATTTTTTGCCACAACTGCAAATAGCTTGCCAAATCAAGACTTTTTTAGCAAACTTGTCGTGTTTTATGTATTTAAATTTCTTATCTGCTTTTCCTCTATATTTGGCAATATAATAGACGGCACCAGGAATTTGCTGATGATCGTACTTGATATAAGTTTCATTGTCTTCAATAATACAGAATTTTTTAGAAATAAAATTGTCATACAACTTTCTGCAGCGGGTTTTTGCACTTTTTGTTGAGTTTCAGATCGGTTGGGCACTTTTTGTGCTTTGAAAGAATGAAAACCATGTTTATTTCGAACTTTTACAACAAAACTATGAGAAAGTCTATAAATGTTTGCGGGTTCCCTTAGTGAAAGGCTTGGGTTAGTCTTAAAACTGTTAACCAGTTTTCTAACTAGTTTTTTATCTTTAAAACCCTTCTTTCTTCCACCACCAGATTTACGTTTGATTAATTTTGTTTGAGAAAAATGTTGGATTACACGACTAACGGTGTATGAATGTATTTGCAACGCTTTTGCTATCGAATTGTAGCTACTATTGGGATTTTCCAAATGTTTGTGCATAATTTTTTCTCTTATGTCTTCTTCTTTTGTCATTTTTAAAACTAATTTTATGTTAAATCAAAAAACTAATACATAACACAACTGAAAATATTTTCTATTTGAAATATATACAAAATACAAAAACTTAGATAACTAAAGTACTATTACACTTAAAAAAACAGAAGAGTTTTATGAACTATTTTTTTGTGTGAGAATTTCTGATAGAGTGCCTTCTAAATCTTTTTATTTCAGGGGAGAGGGGAATAAATTATTGCTAAGCTATAAAATTCATTTTTGTTTTGTTAAGTTTAAAATTGTATGCACATAAATATTTGAGTATTGTATGTTTTTATGTTGTTATATTATATATAGTCAGCAATTTTTACTACTGAAGATCAGATGTTGTTATTTGGAAATACAGATGTAAATGCAGCTTTTTCTGAACTTGATAAAGACAAAGACGGTGAGGTATGCATGCAAAAATATTTGTTGTTTATAGAAACAACACTACAATAAATATTGTAGTGTTATATATGTTGTAAAACTTTTTACATGAATGAAAATCTTTATAATAGCATTTACAATACTGATGAAAAACTGACTTGATTTGATGATTATTCACTTGATTTGATAATTTGTTCTGCGTTAACTAATTACTGTTTATTTAAATATATTCTGAACCTTTATTCCTTATGATACATCAGCAAGTGGTAATAATAAATCAAACAACTATTAATTTTTTACAATTCTCTATTATAATAATTCTTCAAATAACCTAACTAGTGATGTTCTAACAAGTATTATTTTACACGTAATATTCCTTTACTTAATTATTATTCCTTATACTACACAACTTCTCATATACAACTCCCAACTCTTCATACAACACTACATTTCTTTTTAATCTCTTCTTTCTTCTATATTATGTCCCACTTTTTATCTTATTTTCTTGACTCTATTTTATCTTTCTCTTCTCTTTTTATATCATATCAGATTGATTAGATATCATATCAGATTGATTAATCACTTGATTTGATGATTAATCACTTGATTTGATGATTAATCACTTGATTTGATGATTAATCACTTGATTTGATGGTTAATCACTTGATTTGATGGTTAATCACTTAATTTGATAATTAATCACTTGATTTGATGTTTAATCACTTGATTTGATGATTAATCACTTGATTTGATGGTTAATCACTTGATTTGATGGTTAATCACTTGATTTGATAATTAATCACTTGATTTGATGTTTAATCACTTGATTTGATGATTAATCACTTGATTTGATGGTTAATCACTTGATTTGATGTTTAATTACTTGATTTGATGATTAATCACTTGATTTGATGTTTAATCACTTGATTTGATGATTAATCACTTGATTTTTTTTTTAATTATCTTCGCTTCCAACAAGGCTGCAAGCAACCACTAATTAGTGTTGGAAGTTACTGGAAGAGAAAAGATGAAGATTGTAGAGCAAGATAATGATTGAATTGATGTTTAATCACTTGATTTGATGTTTAATCATTTGATTTGATGACTAATCACTTGATTTGATGATTAATCACTTGATTTGATGTTTAATCAATTGATAGTTAAATAGTTATTTTAGTTACTAGTAGACTTTTTTTTATATTAGGAAATTTTTATTTTGCTTGGCATGCTTCACAAAAAAACAATTACTACCAAAAACTTTTGTTTTTAAAAACTTTCATACAATAGACATGCACTTTAGCTATCATTATAGTATTGTATAAAAAAGTACCATTATGGCATTGTATAAACAAGTATTATAAAATGTTTAAAGCTTTTATCAAAATAGTTTGTACAGTTGGTATAGTTAAAATTTTAATTATCCATTGCCCAAGTTGTTTAATGCTCTCATAAATATTTTTATTGTGTGTATTTTTTGAATTGCAAATAATTTTTGATATTGTTGACTGAAATACTTGATAAATAACAAAAAGAAAATTAACTTACTTTTTTTTTTCTACATGTAGATTACTTTCCAAGAGCTAATGGCATTTGTAGAAAGAAAAGGAGTGAACATTCAAACACGTTTCCTTGGTTACACTCGTAAAGAAATTAAGACTTTAGGGGACTTTATTAGTACATTGCAGGTATTTCGTGTTAATATTCTCATAATTGTTTAAAAATTTGTTTTCCAATTAAATTAATACATTAGTGATTTAGTGGTTATAGTGGTTTATTTGGTATATTTAGTGGTTATTTAGCTGTTATATATGCATTTGAGTTGGCACATTTGTACATTTAGCATTTCAGTTGGCAAGTTTTTAGGTATAGTTGGCAAATGTAAAATATCGAGGACCTTTTTTTTTTTAGGTCTCCAGTTAGCAAAAAACTCATACACCACCACCACCACCCCACCACCCCTATGAGAAACCTCTTCAGGACAGCCCTGCCAGGGAGCCTCCGCTTCGAAACCCATGTTGTTAATTTTGTTAAAGACCTTATGTTAAAGTTGTTTAAATTAAATGAGTTGATTAAATTAAATTTATCTTTAAAAATATTTCCCATGGTGCATTGTCATGTGCGTATGTGACATATTATTCTCATTGTGTATAAAATAGCTTCACATCGTGTATATTGCGTGTGGCAATATACACAATGTGAACATATTCTACAAAAAAAAGACAATGTTTACATTATGCATTTTTTTGTGTGGCCATGTATAGTTAAAACCAGAGTTGATAATGGCTCCTGCGACAAATTAGCATTCTGTCAAAAAGTTGAATGTTTGAGGGAGGCATAAGCCATTAGAGGCGGCCTCCTAAAAAATCCTGGCTTTCACCTCTTTATTAGCATCCTCAGCAAAAGTCTTTTTTTGGAGGCAAAATGTTTTGGAACCCGACGCCAATAGGGAAGCAGAAGCCATTAGTGGTGGAAGTCAGAACATTTTGCCGCAAAAAATTTATTCGGATGCAGCTGCCAACTGCTGTGGAAGTAAAGTGAAGGCGAGAAGGTTTACGTCATTTATCACTGGTTAAACAAAATAGTAATAAGTAACACCAAAATTAAAACATTTTTTTAATTTTGGTAAAATAATTTTTAATTAATTATAAACAATAATCCTATTTACGTGGAAAGAAGTCAAGTCCTAGTCAAGAAATTTTCAGGTGTTTTTAAGAGACACATAAAATTGACAGAAAAATGTCTTTACAAATATTTTTACATATATTAATTATTTTTTTTATTTTTTATTTTTTTTATTTTACTTCACCTCCTCAAGGCCGAGAAGGCCACTACAGACGAGGAGGCTACTTATTTTGTGGCTATAACCCTCTCTCAACTCTATAACTCCGAAACACGAACCTTGACAAACAAGGCCGCTGCGCGGAGAAACGAGTTGAGCGCGGTACTACCAGGGACGTGGTGGGGATCGAACTCCGAACCACTCGTTTATGAAGCGAGCGCTCTACCACTACACCACTACCGCATAAATAATATACACATATTTATATTATTATTATTATTATTATTATTATTATTATTATTATTATTACTATATATATATATATATATATATATATATATATATATATATATATATATATATATATATATATATATATATATATATATATATATATATATATATATATATATATATATATATATATTAAACACCCTTATAGACTGCGTTATCAATTAATGTGAAGAGAAACTACGTTGAGGTAAAAATTTTTATAAATTTTTGCACGTTTTCCACCTAAGATTTATCAGCAGGCAGCTAAAGTTAAACTTTAGCAAACTGCTAATAAATTACAAAAAAAGCTATTTATTGTAGAAAACTGCAAATATATTACATAAAAAGCTATTGATTGTAGAAAACTGCTAAAAAATTACATAAAAAGCTATCGATTGTAGAAAAATTCTAAAAAAAGCTAATGACTGTAGAAAACTGGCACAATATTATAAAAAAATGTATTTATTGTAGGACCGAGATATTGAACGCACTATAGGGATTGATACAGATTATATCGAAGCGAACGACTTTTCCTTAGAAGATCATGACAAAAACTTTCTACTTCAGGTTAGGTGATACAAATATATAATAGGTGCTGCAAATGTTATTTGAAAATCAGATATTAAATGCAAAATGTTTTTTTATTACTTTTTTAGAGTGGAGAACATGCGGCACGAGCTTTTCTAAGATACTATTGTAAACGTCATCCTGAGTTTCGAAAAAGAGAAAGTGCTTTGTTACCAAAAGATTTTTTGAATTCACAAGTTAAAAGTAATTTTTTGCATCCTTCTAGTAATCTAGTTCATTGAAAGAGCAGCCTAGCGCTCAATCTTTACCCGGAAGGAAATAAGACGTATAAAATACGCAGTAATACGTATTTTAGACATTTTATACATGTCTTGTGTCATCTTGTTATCTTTTTCCCACCGGGTATATTTATAAATTGTTTTTATATAATTAAGTGGTATTTTTTTAAACTGTGTATATGTAACTTTGAATGTAGTTTGTTTTTATTTAATTTTAATGCTTGATTTTTAAATTATTGTGGTATACTTAGCGTGGCCTTGAATTATGCATAAATTATGCATGTGCGTAAAGTTTGCAAGAGTTTTATAAACTATATAATAGATTTAATTTTTTCGTTTTTATTTAAAAAACTGAACGCCAATGCTTTGAAAAAATATCAAACGCTTAAAATGTTGTTGAAGCACAATTCGAAATGTTTTTTTATCTAATCTCACGCCTAGTTAAATTTATTTCCGTAAATAAGAAAAAATGACATGAAAAATTTTTAAAATTTTTTAAAATTTTGTTATTTGTGCTCAATCTTGTTTTTATTTTCATCTTCACAAGATTTTTATTTTCACAAGATTTAATACTATATATTTATTTGTCATGTATATTTTATATTTATTTTTTGATGCAGAAAATCCCAAACGTTATTTTTAAGCGTAAACACAAAATGTAAATTTAAATTGAATTTTGTTTTAATCCAGTAATATATAAAGTTATTAGGTATTTTTATTTTCATTAAACTCCTGTTAACAAGAACATCTAAGCAGAGGCGATTTTACGGGGGGCAAGGGGGTGTTACACCCCCCTCCCACCAAAGAAGGTGATTTTCAAGTTATAGTCGGTTTTTTTACGAATTTAGTTGGCTAGTCGGGTATTTGACACAATTCAGTCGGCTAAATGTTTGTTTTAAGGACCTTTTTTTATAAAAGTCAGTCGGTACCTTTTGAGGATTCACCCCACCCCCACCCCCACCCCCCCTCAATTTTTTTGTAGAATTGCCTCTGCCTCTAAGGCACAAAGAAAATTGTTCGACTTATCGAGTAATTTTTATTAGAAATCGATCCAACTGGAATTTGAAAATACTTTGAGCTACTATAAGTTTGAGTTGATAGTTTAAGAATTAGCATCCAAAGTTTTACCAAAATTCGACATTAGTTGCATCCAATATGCGACAAGCAAAATTAACTAAAGATGACCTATGCTGTCGCCAAGGTTTGAATATTAAAACACTGCGAAAATATTTAAATAATTTTGTATTTAAACGATTACTAAGTAGCAATTTGAGGAGTTAAAAAATTTTTAAGAGGCGATTTGCGTTAGTTGACTTAACTGGAGCAGGTTGGCAATTGTAACAACAGCATTTTTAGTTAGTTGGCTCAACAGTTTGGTCAACCAGATTTTGCATTTATTGGTGTTTTTACAACTTGGAATAACAATTGGATCAAACACAATTTGTGCTAATTAGCCCAATGCAACAAATATAGTTTGTGCCGCGTTTGCACATGAGTTGAAAATGAATTGTTTATATATAAAAAAGTATTGCACTACAATTAATTTGTACTTAAATTCAGTTTATAAAAAGTCAGTCAGATAGAGTAATAGTGGATACTAGTTACCAGTGGATACTACTTATTAAAGAAAAGTTCAAGAATCTCAACATCTGTAACCCATATACAGGGTAAGTAAAAAAAGTTCAAGATCTGTAACCCATATACAGGGGCGTATATGGGTAACAAATCTTGAACTTTTATCTGTAACCCATATACAGATCTCAATATCTGTAAACCATATACAGGGGCGCACAGAGTGTGAGGGATCCGGTGTGGGGGATCAGTTTCTAACGAGTTCCGTCATTTTTCGTCTTTTCAACGCCACCTACTGACAAATGATTGCCCCTTAGATCTTCTAAATAGCATTTATCAAATTTTAAGGAAATTTCCCCCAGATATGCATCTGTATTCGTATCTTTCTTACTTTGCTAGTATTTGTGGCAGAAGGCGAGAGATCTTTTATCAAGTTAGCTCTAGTCAAGAACACTCTTAGAACTATCATGCGACAACTGTCTTGACGACTGTCTTATCCTTTTAATCGAAACAGATCTTGCAAAGAAATTTAAGTAAGATGTGTAACTTCCAATTTTGCTGCTAGAAAAGGTTGTAAAGTCTTGGTAAAACGTCAGAAAAACTTTATACCAAATCCAGAAATGTTTTTGTATAACTGTTTGATTAGTGAACTTTTGATTAGTATTAAATACAGAATTTTTAAATTATTTTGTGAACACTAAAAAAATAAGAAAAAAAGAAAAATAAAGCTATTATCAATAGCTTTATTTTTATTCTTATTTTTTTGGTGGTGGTGGTTGGAGGGGGAAGGGCATTTAGTTGATTTTTTTTATAATATACCCTGGGCATCATAAAGTCTCTGTACGTCCCTGACCATTTACAATCTGTGGCCATACCACTTTTGGTAATATAGTTTTCTACATCATCACATAAATATACGCGTAAAGCATCTAAAACTGAGGCCTAACTTTTAACATTTTCATTTAAGATCTTAATAATTGCTTTCTTAATTGCATGATTCTGTCCACAAAGCTATTGGCTTGTGGATAAGCAAAGGTTACACCTTGCTGAACGCCTGTCATGTCATGTAGTGCTATGGATGCTGAATTTACAAATTCACGACTTTAGTCATTAATTTGTATTTGAAAATAACCATGCCTGCAAATAACTCTATCCTCGCAGTCGGAAAGTCACGCGGTTATGCAAAATAACAATAGCGCAAGTTGTTACCATCTTGGATGGAGGAAAACAAATGATTAGTTGAGTTAATAAAGCAGGACAATTATTACGAAAAAGTGGTTTAAAGAGTTTAAAAAAAGAAATATCGGTTTACGAATATTTTGAAAAAACATATTTACAAAACATATATATATATATATATATATATATATATATATATATATATATATATATATATATATATATATATATATATATATATATATATATATATATATATATATATATATATATAGTTAATAAATTATTTATATTTACACGTATATCTATATATCAAATAAATTATTTATATTTACACGTATATCTATATATCAAAAATCACTTAAAGACACAACAACCCTTGCGCATTTTAAAGACTTTTATGTTATGCCATTGTTTTCGTTTCATAACGAAAGTTTATTTTCCCCCAACTAAAATGGTAGATGTTCGCGGCAAAGATTATGACGTATTTCCGACTGCGAGGATAGAGAAAGGCTGCTACTGATACTGTGTTTTTTCGATAAGAGGTTTAGCGTCAGTCCGTTTAAAAAAATAATTTATAAGGACATTTACAAATCTTAATCTACTATAATACTTGTATATATACTTATATATATATATATATATATATATATATATATATATATATATATATATATATATATATATATATATATATATATATATATATATATATATATATATATATTACTATATAATGCTTGTATATATACTTGTTTCATAACTTATTGTTCCATTTTAACAGGTTTTAAAGCAGGAGACACATTTAGGTTTCTGTTAGAGGTTTTTTGGCATTGTTCACATTGAGCTACATATTTGGTGATATCCTCCACAACTGAATGTCAAAAAAATTTTGAAGAAATTTGCTTTCTTACAGTATTAATTCTTAAGTGGCTAGCTAATGCAACAGCTTTCTCAGAAGTTCCAAGACCTTCGTGAACTTCTTTAAATATGTTTAATTGTTCTTTTCGATCTATTACCACCTACAATAAAAACCACCTACAATAAAAAAAAATTATTTGTATGAAATGTTTACATTATTTTAAGTTGTTTTAAAGTTATAAATTTTCAAATTTATAAATGTTGTGTAAATTCACAATAAAGCACAACACAGAATATTGTTTAAATACTTTATTTTATTTAATTAAAACCTTTTAAATTAATTAAAAACTTCTTTCCATAAAATAAGTTTCCCTAACCTTGCCAATACCTTTTTTGCAATACATTTGTTATTGTCAACAATAACAAATTTTTACGCTGCCGTTTAAAATTTGCTTTTTTTCCTTTCTCATTCACATCTTTAGGAAAAGTATCATTTAAATATTTCATTTATTTCAGGAAATGTTTAATTACCATTTAAATATTTCCTGACATCATTAAAGTTAATATTTTTGTACATTTTGACAAAATAAGCTATATAAATTTTAAACTAAAATGTCAGTAAAATTATAACAAATAAAGTAAAATTTTAACGTTAAAATATTACTGCCTAAGTGTTATTTTAACGCGATTGTTTTATGCAAAAGAAGTTTGAACGGTTAAAAACTTCCGCGCAGTAAAATTTCAACGCAGCAATTTAAAAACGCTTCAACGTTCAACTAATAGTAATACTATGCATCGCCAATCTAGTGAAGCATGCATTGTGCCAACTGTAGAACTTTATTCAGGGCTGCGTCATTATGCTGACTGTATTGCGGATTGCGGTTTTATTGGTGATTTTACCACATACATTATTACTCATAATAAATATAAAGTGAACAAAAGTAATAAGTTTATCAGATTATTCCTATTATCACTTCCATAATACTGAAAATGTAGTAATACTATAGATTTTTTATTTGGTTGATAGTGACAACTAAAATGCCTGATGTTGGTAGTGACATCGAAGTTATAAAATAGAATATCACTAATGACAAACCAAATAAATCATAACTTCCATATATAATATTGACTAGTTGCCTTAAAAATGCAAAAAGATATTTTGGTTATATAACTTGGGGAGATTTTTATCTTCTACATTCTAAAGATGAACAGCTTCAAGGTAATTTGAAAAAAGCTCCAAAAATTACATATCAAAGTCTTCACCCTGGTAATAAAAAGCAAAATGTTTTTCTTGCACTGTCGATTTTTGATGAAACCATAATTGCAAGTTTTAAAAGTTATTTTCATAAACGAAATGACATTTCTGGTTTTTTGAGTATTTTTCAAAAATGGTTGTCTGTTTCAAATTCAAAACAACAATTTAGTCCTAATAAACTTGGTAATGCAGTTTTTTTTAATGATGGTAAAACCACATTTTTAAGGCAACTAGTCAATATTATTCAATATTATGCCAAATAAAAATAACTTCAAACATCGAAGTTATAAAATAGAATATCACTAATCTTACAGTCTGATTGGTTTTATGCACACAAAAAATAAAAACACATATCCAATTACTAATTTAGGTGTTTTTATGGAGTTCCAAGACTAACTACTACCTAATCCATATAAAAAAGAACATAAGGCTTAAACCTTTATGTATATATAACAGTATAAAAGTTTTGGTTTAAAACTAGTTTCAAACCAAAACTCATATATTCTAATGATTGTAAAACAGCATTTTCGCCTCCATCTTGGCGTAAACCTAAC